GGGCGTTTTTTAACATTTTGTGTGTTACCTTTCTTTATTTAATATCATGTTCCTCGCACTTAAACCATAAGATCCAGTGCAACAGCAATATCGCAAAATAGTTTTAAAACGAGCATATCTTTAGAATTTCCGATACAGAGACTCACGCGCTGGAGATAAAAATGTTTTTTCTGCACAACGTTGCCATTGCTCGCTTTGAAATCCTTGAGTTTGTTAATCAAAAAATCGTCAAAGTTTTAAAAAATAGGAAATCGATCATAAAACAAATTTCAAATTTCAAATTTGGTCTTCCACATGCTCATATTCGTTGGAGGATTACGTTATTCAAAATTCGATGACTCTATGTACCGTTATTTTATGACAATGTGAGAAATATACATACATTTACGCAGATTTTCATTATTTAATTTCTTCAAATATAATGCAGGACTCTAACATTTTATGGCAACAGTTTGAAAAGTGAACCGACATTTATCCGTCCGACGCAAAATTCCAAAACGAAAGTAATAGTCCTTCGGGATTCAAGTCTCTTTGGACTAAAAATAAAAGCTAATATTATGTTTTCTATGTTTCAAAATTATATTTCTTATATTTTGCTACTCTAATTTTTTTTCTCTCAAAAAGGCTTCTCTGTTGCTCTGCTTTTTCTCTTTGAAAGGGGGGGATGTGTAAGATAAAAAATATGAAAGCAAACTTCTAAATTTAATTCAGTATAAACTGTGTTATTTTTATTTCATTTAGGGATTCATCTCTCTCTGTCTAAAAATAGCGCCGTGAGTCTAAACTGCGTTATTCAAATTAATCATGCGATCTTAAGGCAGATAGCTCCTGCCGAATCAAAATAATTGCAAACCAAAACTAATTCAAACTGAAAGTGACTCCCACCCTTCTGACTGCATTACTACTGCGACTCTGTCTGTCTACTCCTTAAGCTTTAACCCTGTTAAGATGCTTTGCTGCAATCATCTACGTGCTGCTATGATAGCTTCTACCGGTATAGTATCAAAATTGTAAATGTTCTTTAATAGGCACGAGTAGAGTGCCAAATGATTGTGGCCACAAGTGACGGCTCGACTGTTTATTTTTTATCAAAATGGATGAACGCTCTAAGCAACAAGTATCTACGACAACAGTATTTATCCGTTTCCACGTCTTAGTGTTCTTGCATTCAGTGCTTTCAAAATTGTGTTAATATTACATATATATATAATATACACCCTTTGTCAGAAAAGTTCCAGGACAAAGGTCGTAAAAAATAGGAAATTTATTTAATTATGATCCTCGCTGCTAGCAAATTAATCCCCTTGGCTACCTGTACACAACTTTCAACGTTTCTGGAGGTCTTGGAAGCAAGCAAGGAAATCTTCAAGTGCGATGCTTGCAAGCCCGTTTTATGTCTGCAATAATGACAGACACAGCACGTTTTATGTCTGCAATAATCACAGACACAGCACGTTTTATGTCTGCAATAATCACAGACACAGCCCGTTTTATGTCACAGCCCGTTTAATGTCTGCAATAATCTTGATGAAACTTTCCTTTCAATCATCTTTTCACTCACGGAAACAAGAAAAAATCACAGTAATCTTTGACACAAATTTGGGATCACGTCTGGCTCTATCCAATAGTTTAGAAGAAATTCTTCGTCTTTCCTTTCTGTTCAGCTGTTAGTGAGTGAGGGACGATTCTTGCATTAAGTTTCCCTAAATCTTCACGTTAAAATATTATGACGCACGTTACGATTCAAATTCATTTCTTCTGATATCATACGCACGTCTTTTTGTACGGCGGTCTTTTTGTAATAACTGCCTTACATGCTCCACGTTTGCATTGGTATGTGCTACAGACGGGCAACTAGTTATGGGATCGTCTTACACTGAATCTCTGCCTTCATGAAACCTTTTGTGACACACGAGAACATGAAACACGAAAACATGACTTCTTGAAAATGCCTCACCTGCATATGCTTGCTTAATCATGTGCCGCGTTTCACTAAGGGCTTTCCCGAGCTTAACGCAGAACTTAATGTTCACTCTTTGCCCACAATCAGCATCCATTATGTCACCTTAACGAATGTGACAACAAACCGAACAGTGTGTTGCTAAGCACAGCCCTGCCAGCTATTAAGTTTGCTTGGAAACTCGGCCAAGGTCATGTCATATAACAATACATACCAGGTAACATAAAAACAACGTTTTTTCCTTTTTAGTTTAGCACTGCAAACTCAGAAATAAAAAAGAAAATATCCTGGAACTTTTCTGACAAAGGATGCTTATATTTTTTTAGTATTTTCTCAGTTCATCATATCAGTATTCAGTTTATATGGCTTACAAAGCCTTATTTGTGTCTTTTTATTATTAAAGTTTTGTGTGTTAACTTTGTTCATTAGATATCACGTTTTTCGCACTTCCGTTATATAAACCTCAATCCAATCGAAATATCACAAAATATTTTAAACTTTAGAATTTCCGACATACAGTCTAGCTAGTTCTAGATAAAAATATTGTATTCCGTACAGTGTTGCTACTACTCGCTTTCAAATCGTTGATTTTGTTAATCAAAAATTCATTAAAGGTTTACAAAATATGAAATAAAAAATTCGAGGTGCATATGTTGGGGAGGAGGACAACGCTATTCAAAACTCATTGGCTCTAGGTACCATCGTTTTTTCACAATGTGAGGAACATACGTGCATACATACATACCGATTCTTCATTATTTAATTTCTTTAAAGATAATACTGGGTAATAGTATTTGGTGGCAACAATTTGAAAAGTGACTCGCCGTTTATACTGGACAATCTAAAATACCGTTTTGAGAAAAACAGCCTATTCAAGCTAACGCTTTTTTCGACTAATAATTTTACATTAACTTTCTTATTTAAAAAGAAAAATAAATTCACGTCTACCCAGTCCGAATAAAGTATTTGAGTTATGTTGAAAAATATTTATTTAAGAAAAAAATTCGTAATTTCCTTAAAAAGTCAAGAAGATTGTCTAATATAAAAATGTACAAAAATTACACAAATAAATATAAAATTAGCTTTATAATTTACCTTAAGTGCGGCACATCTGACACATACTATTTCTCGCCTATGTGCGATATAATGTATGACACAATATTTTTTCACTTAATGTCAGCGGCCTTGGAAAAAAGGCGTATAATATCGAAGTTAATTAACATTGCTTCTTTTATTTGTCATAGAGAAACGTGGCGTCTGACTGGGATATCAGCCCAAGAACTCTCAGTCAATCTGCTGTTATTTATTTGTGAGCTAACTAAACTGGAATCGAATTTAGGGTAATATCGTTTTACAACGGAAATTAGTGATTTCAATTTTGATACTAGATTTAAATATAATATGTTAAATTACGCCCTTCATAAAATTAACTTTTAATCCAGTACATCTGCAAGAGTCTTTCAGTGATAAAATACAGATTCTCAAAGAAGAGGTGACATTAAACTGTTAGAAGTCACGAATTCATTAAATATTTTGTTTGTTTTATAACTAGACTAATTATAAACAAATAATTAGAATTTTTAATGTTGGTAATAATGGACGCTTCATTTGCATTTATGAAATTAGCTTAAGATTACTTAATACATTAACTGATATTTCATATAAACCTAAGAAAGTAAGCTACTTCATGTATAACTAAGAAAGGAACTCATCATTCACATAATACTTCATGCAAGAAATCAGCTCGCCAGATTAAATTTTAAATTTACCCAATTAATTAATCAAATCTGTAAATTTGTAAAAGTATCCTGAGGACTTTCTGCTTGAAGTAGGATCAATGTCTGTTTCCTACTAATTGCATAGAATTTCTGCAGTCATTCTAAAGACGAATTTTGTCTAATGTAAAGGTTTTTCACTCTAAGATTTAATGAGATATAATTTATTTTTAAAATGTATTTTTTATTTTAAATAAAACTAAGGACAAAAATAAGTCTTCTTTTAAGTAAAAGAAAACATTTGATATAATTAAAATAAAAATAATTTTCTAAATCAGTTTTCTAAAGGATGAAAACTTAGAATATTCAGTATATCACTAATTTTGGAAAATTTATGATAAAAATCTCTATCCTTCAATTTTACCCTTATTTTTTCATTCGCAATTAATTTTTAATTGCCACTTGTAGCTTTGAACCATTTGATGTAACTTTTCATTGTACTTTTAATTATAAGTAGACTGACATTTTCATAATTTTTTAAAAAAAGTGTTCTTCGAATCCAAAAACTAGTACAATTTTTTCAAATATTTATTTATCAGAAATTGTCAATATTGATTTAGATTCATTTGAAAAATAATTTTCCTCGCTCTGCATTTCAGATATGACACAAATTTTTATAAATCTATGTTTCAGAATTGTTTAAAAAGCAGAAAGTTATGTTTTTGATTCTTTATAACTATGATGTTAGAAAAAGGATAACGTCCAAAATTTAATTAAATTATTTTATATTAATTTAATTAATTTATTTCAAATTATATTAACAAGTTTCGATTTCCTGCATTCTTTTATTTCTGTATTTAGTCACTAACAATCTTTCCAGGAAAGAATTATAGATTCGAATATGGTTCCATTCAAGTTATAGAACTTGGCTTTATTTCTTTTTTTTTTTTAAATATTACTGCTAAATTGTTTGGCGAAAATCTTAGATGATTTCTTTGGATATTGCTTAAAGAATTTTCTTTGCCAATTGAGAATGAAGATATTCTACATTCCGCTGTCTAGAATTTTGCTGATTTTCTTGTATTTTCATGAGGGTGTTATTATTAAATTAGACAAAGCATTGCTTAAAAGTCTTATAGTATAACAATAGTGAAAATATTGTTAAAATTCGGGAAGCTGATACTAAATTAAGAGAAAAAAGTATACAGGTGCTAATACTAGATAACGCTTTCGTCTCTCTCAGCACGTCATTTCTCCTTGCGTTCAAAGGTGGCGCTGTGGTTCCTAATGGCAAATAAAACTGCCAAAGCAACTTCACTCATCAACTGGGTGAAAACTAGGAGAGATCAGTAATATAGGCGCGCGTGAATCTAAATTTTTAAAGTTTGGATTTGTTACGTTTATTATCATTTCTTCGGGGATTCGACATTTCATCATATTTTATCGAATTTGTATGTTATGAAATTCTTAAATTTCCTTCATTAGCAAAGCAGTAATTTAAAAAATAAATTGTTAATTTTGATATATTTAATCATTTGAACATGAAACTTTTAGCACTTATTCATTTATTCGAATTTATCTGTTTGTTGAACCTCGTAGCTGGTCAAGCACCATACTACGTACCAGCTCGATATGTAGACGACGATTTACGAGGTGATTATTGCCGTAACAGGTACCCTGTGACATGTTGCAGAGAACGAGACGATACTTGTAGTGTACCAATTCTTGGTACAGTATGCTATTGTGATATGTTCTGCAATCGAACCAATAATGCTGATTGTTGTCCAGATTTCAAAGCAGTCTGTCTTGGTATCAGTCCAGTGCCTCCTCCAGGACAACTAACTCAAAAATGTAAGTTGTATTTCAGTATTTAATAGTGGGATTTTATGTGTGAATTTTGACGTCTGAGACTTCTTCGGAATTCAAAAGCAAAACTACAAAAAAAAAAAAAAAAAAAAAAAAAAAAAAAAAACCAATTACTATTGTTTTACGTATTATGTAATGATGTCGCTACTTAATCTTTTTATTTGTAATATGGCATTATATATAAATTTACAAATAATTTTAAACTTAAAAATGGTGTTTAAATTTGAAATAACAGAAATTTAAATTCGATGCAATACCAGCTTCTTGAATTCTCTAATAGTATACAAAACAAAACAAGTATATTTGAAACTCAAATTATTCGAATCAAATGTTCTGGTTTCTAAGTTACTCTTGTTTTCTTAATTTATTTTCGTATTTTGACGTTTGTATATTTGTATTTTGAAACCAGATATTTTTCCAAAATTTCCGGACTGTTACGTTAGGTTAGACTACAATGTTATGCTTTTATAATCTAATATTCTTGACAGGCAGTTGCCATTATATAAACGCAGGTTTGCGTCCAGTTCTTAGAACATTACTATTCGAACAAATATAAAATTTGTTATTTATCTTTTAAATTTAATTGGTCTGTAACCCTTTAAACTGAGCGTGTTAAAAGCCGTAAACTTAATTTTGCTGTTGATTTTTAATAATGTGCAATATAATACACAATTTTTAAAAAAGCTATTAAATTATTTAGGTCAACATTTGCGACATTTAATTTGATCAATTGGTAAATATGTAGCCTGTGAATGTTAATGGAAAAGCGACTGCGTACCACAATGGTCTCATAATTCGCGGCCGGCATGCGGTTCCCGAAACAACTTTATGTGACCTGCGAAGACGTTTTAATTGTGTAAGTGTTGCAAATACGGTTCTTAAGTTTTACAGACATAACGATGTGGACTGAGCTTACATGCGCGACTGCTGTTGAAGGGTAAAAAAGAGAATGAATAGGTTGGAGCTTTGTTTTTGTGTTTGTACGATTCTACGTCAGGCCACCTGACTGAGGTAATATGGGAGAATTTTTCCTGCCAGTAAATTTAGCTTCCCAACTGACAGGTGGTAGCTCATCAGTATTCTGAAATTTCAGGTAATTTCTAAATATGAAAAAAAAAATTAATAGTATATATAAAAGTAATTTCTAGCTGGTAACGAGTCATTAGACTTCAAGTAGAAAATAAACAGTAATTTGAATTTTTCTTTGTGTTATTGTTTATGTATGTTTTCAATAAGTGAAAGCTAAAATTTATTTGATTGTGTGTTTTGTTTAAAATGTTTTAAAATTTTGTTAAAAAAATATTATGGCCTTTCAGCTGCTTTCAAATCGAACATTCGGTTCGCATGCTGTTTGAGCCTGGACCATGTACATACAGTATTAAAGAGTGTTTTAGAAATGTTGCATTCCTTAATAGCTTTTGAACGGTGTGTGGTAGACTTATGATTTCTTTTTAAGAAGCGTCGATTAAGAAACCGTTATACGACTTAAAGCAAATGACAAAGATGTTTTTGGGCAGAAGGGGGGGTGCAGTACTAATAAAATTACATTAAATATGAAAATTTTGAATTTCTTTATTAAAACAATATGAGAAACTAAACCCATTCATCATTTTGTAAAATTTACGAACACTTATAACTCCATATTCTAGTATTTTATGTATACTGTCTCAAAAATTTTAATTTATGATAATCTGAGGCAATTTGCATCATATAAGAAGAAGTGGGGGATATTTTATTTTACTTTGACAGTTTGCCCTTAAATTGTTTTTCCCTCTTTGACTGCTTCTTGCCTTTTTATTTATTTAAGGCTCATATAAAAAATTCAAGCATCGTGTTTTTTTGACCAAACTTTTCTCGATTTTGAAGTACTAAGCTGTAATTAAATACATTTTTGTTCTAGATTTTACTTCTAAATGATATTAACGTTGTATTTAAACATCTTCTAAACACGTATTGACGGACCATAATCGGGACATCATTTCACATATATTTCACAGTTACGCGACCTTCGATCGTGATTTCAGATTTAGCTTTGAATAGAAAGACTGAAATGGAAACTTCTACCCTACCTCATCGAGAAAGACAATACATTGACTGAAATGAGACATAACCGAAAGAAAGTTTAAAAGTGTAATTATTATTAACGATTTGTTTTCCGAAATGGTTACAGAAAAACAACATTTTAATTCTAAAAGAGTGTACTGTTTCTAGGCAAGTTTGCAAAACATTTTTATGCGTACGAAGAACTATACGTGAAGGAAAAAATATAAGTCTAAGTAATCAAGCATGCTGTCGTATTTCAAGCCTTTCACCTCAACCGCAGCAGAGAACAAACCTCTCCTCGGAATTATGATAGGAGTGAAAGTGTGGAGACTTGACTAATTCAAATCGAATCAAAAAAGTGTATTAATTAAAAAACCCTCTTCCTCTTCTATAATTCTTTTCCTCTTTCTCCTATACTTTTCCTTCGGCATTTTCCATTACGAAGATCCGTCAAGTCAGATTTATGCACCATTGTCAGCATGTCTCTGCATTTTATCAACTTTCTGTGTTCTTCGCCTTCCCGATTCTAAAACAATCAAATATATTATATATATATATAAAGATATAAAGTAAAAAATTTAGAACTAATATTTCACAAAGACTAGAAATTGAAATTCATAATTAATAAATTTCTCTTCAAAAATTATGAAATTAAAATAAAAATGAACAAAAACAGAAAAAGAATTCAATCAATCTCAGGAATTCTCAATCAATGTCATTTCATCAGGGAAGGGAACCTTGAAATTAATTGAAATCTCTCTTCTACAAAAATCCTTACTTTTTTGTATCCAGAATTAGCCAATGAACCATTTCAATGTATTTAAATTATAATTATAATAGTTCATCCGAACATTCTAGCCCTTCCACAAAGCAAGGGAAAATTTTTTTCTAATTATAAACATTAGAATAATCGTAAATAAAGAGAAATTTATCCCTTTACAAGAAATGAAAACAAAAATGAAAAAACAAAACTTCAGTGAAACATTTTTAAATTTCAATGTGATTCTTTAAACAGAAGAAAGCCAATGAACTAAGATGTAGTTGAGAAACCTATTTAGAACATACAAAATGAAATTAGAACTCCCTTCTTTCTCATTAGACTCTAGTTTAAATTTGATAGGCGATACAGAATAATTCGTACATTTTTTCCATCTTGGTTTCTTTGGCGAAACTAAAAAACTTTGACAAGAAATTAATCGCTCAAAAGGCTAAAATCTTGTACGTAAATGTAATTTTGAAACCAAAAGGAAAACGTTAAAATATTTCAAAGAAAATTTAATTTTTTATTCAAAGAAACAGAAAGCATACTAACTGAATGAAATTAAAGTAAAATTTTTACTCTAATAAAACACAAAAGGAAATAAATACAATTATTTAGTGTAAAACCTAAGAACATTTAGAAAATCTTAAAAAAAAAGAATTCTTTTGTTTTAAAAGTATTGAAAATAAAAGTAAAAATACTTATATATTGGAAAATAAATACTTATAAAATTATATTGGAAAATAAATACTTATAAAATTATATTGTAAAAACAAAATACTTATATGTATAGATAGTATATTACTTCTGTTTGTATGTATTGCATATTTAATATATCATAATTATCATACCTTAGTTTTACTGTATGCTAATATTATTTAAAGTTTTACTGCATTTTGGCGTCATTTAATAGGCTGCATTTTAAGCGGCGGAAGGTTCAGAAAAATTTCATGTATAACTTAACTTTTCCTTTTGCATTATATATTTCGGCTTTCGAAAGAATTCGCTGCAAAGCTTTGCTTTCATGAAAGTGAAGGAAAGCTGTAGCAATCCTTCACTTTCATGAAAGTGTAGCAATCTTGTAAAACAGTCTGATTAACCCAGAAGATTTATTATTTTTTTGTCTTGTGCAAAAACTTTAAAAGCATATATTATATTGTAAATTTTATTATTTTACGTTAAAATATAAGTTACTTAATTTCATTTAAAACTAATACAAATGAAGTGGAATTTTGTTTCTTGTCAAATAAGCACCTCCGCCCTCCCCAATAAATAAATAAATAATAATTTTAAAAAAGAGAAAGAGTTGTATCATCCACAGCGGTGATCCGTTTGCGGACTTTAAAGTGACCTTAAAGCTCAAGCTCACTGGTGATTAACAGCGAATCTTGCACCATTTGACTTAATTTTAATAACTGTCAGAACCTATTGTATTAATTCATATTGGCCGCGTAAGGGGGATCTCAAAGGGAAATAGTGTCCTTTGGTTTAATTTTAATTTTAAAATCTATTTGAATTTACACTACTTCTTTGCATCAGTGACTTACGGTTTAACATCCAATGATCGTCAACTTGTAGGTCACCAAGGACCAAAAATGATATATACCTTGATTTAATTTACGTTATATAAATTTGCAGCCTCAGCCCATACTGGTGGTCTGTAAGTTGGTCCAACTCGTATTCGTTCGCGATCATTGTTGAACGGAACTATTGTACTTAGATTTCAGTTTAAAATCCATCTTAATTTATCGTGGTTCCCCGCTCTATGACGTATAAATTGATCTCCATAACCCTTATTTTGATGAAGTGTCATAGCGGTCACCTATCTATACATCGGTTCGTTTTAAATTTTTAAATGCTATTTAAGTTTAGCGTTTACCTCCTGATAACTTTGAACTACATGATGGTAATAGCTGTCAACTTGTAACGACTGCCAACTTGTAGAGAAACATAAGTTATATAGTTGAACTGCAACTTTCAATTTAATTTTAGCAATCGAACTAAATGTGCTAAAATTAAATAAATGGAACACAATTTTAAATATATATAACTGGAGTAAAGATTTAAATTTTTCAAGTTTAAACGGCTGTGTTGAGCGATTTTATGAAGTAAGTATTTTTAAACGAAAAAATTCAATTCTCTCACTTGCATCATACTAAATACATTAGCGTACAGGAAGACG